GTAGAACAATCAAAAAAAAGAAAGAATAGTGTTGTGGTTTTGGGTAGCAGTTTGCCTTGCCCCATGTGACACTTAGGTGTGTCACAACCCAATTAAATTGTGCCCATGTCACTAAGCAAGAGATACCATTCAAATCATCCTCATTTTGACAATTAAGGGTTAAAAGACATCCCTGCCAAAAATTCCTTGAAACAAAACGCTGGCGGAGAACTGAAGATAATTGGTCAGCTGAAATAAAATGCTAGGGGAAACTATATATAATTGGTCAAAGATAAACGTAAGCTCCTCACACGTAGCACACACGTAACAGGTAGAGAAACCTAACCCACTACCCTGTAACTTGAGGAGACAAACTGCTGCTGCTTGCCAAAAAATTAAAGATTCCACATAACGGCCCATCATTGGGTGTCTATGTCAAACACCTCTGCCTATAAATAGTTTAACGGTTTCCGCCCAAGGCAGAGAACTCTGGGGATCTCTAAGGAGACACCTGTGCTCGTCCCCAGAGAGTTGGGAACTTGATCAACTCCCAATCAATCACCCCATCAGCGTAAAATATTGACATAGAAAGTCTTGTAAGCCCGACCTTCCTGTAAAACACCTCTGCCTATAAATAGTCCATCATTATCTCGTTGTAACCTAACTGTGTGCGTGTACACTACTCTGTAACCGAAGTTATATGCGTATACTCAACTCTATAACCGAAGCTGTAACGGAACAAAGGCTCGCCTGCGTCGTCCATCACTATCTAGGCGACGTAAGTAAACAAACTCCTGTAACCTACGCGTGTCTGTGCCTGGTTAATTCCACTCCATCCATCAATTACCCGCCTGCCGAGCTCTAAATCTAAACACTCCGGTGTGTGAGTCAGACAAGCTGCCGGCAGCTGCTCTGATTCACGACAGATGCTTATCTTGCTGGGATCCTATGACCCCAGCTGACTTCCTGCCCTTTGGGCGGGGGGCTGGACTCCATGATCTTCCGAGGTCCCTTCCAGCCCTGATGTCTATGATGTCTATGAACCCCCCCTGCTCAAGGCAGGACCATCCCCAACTAGATCATCCCAGCCAGGGCTTTGTCTAACTGGGTCTTGAAAACCTCCAAGGATGGAGACTCCACCACCTCTCTGGGTGGCGTCACCACCCTCCTAGTGAGAAAAGTCTTTTCAGTATCTAAGCTAAACTTCCCTTGCTGCAACACTCCTTGTTTTGTCATTAGCCACCACTGAGAACAGTCTAGCTGCATCTTCTCTCCAACCCCACTTCAGGTAGTTGAAGGCTGCTATTAAATCCCCTCTCAGCCTTCTCTTCTCTAGACTAAATGCGCCCAATTCCTTCAGCTGTTCCTCATAAGTAATGTGCCCGAGCCCCCTCACCCTTTTTATTGCCCTCTGCTGGTCTCTCTCCAATTTGTCCACATCCTATCTGTAGTTGCGGGGTGCAAAACTGAACATAATACTTCAGATGTGGCCTCACCAGTGCTGAATAAAGGGGAATAATCACTTCCCTTGACCTACTGGCAGAACTCCTACCAGTGCAGCCCAGTATGCTGTAAGCTTTCCTGGCCACAAGGGTACACTGCTGGATCATATTCAACTTATTGTCTCCTTAACCCCAGGCCCTTTTCTGCAGAGCTGCTGCCCAGCCTGTTAACCCCTAGGCTGTACCATTGTATTGCCTTCCCAGCAGATGTCAGGGTGATTTGAAGCCCCCCATGAGAACCAGGGCTTGTGATTGGGAAACTTCCCTTAGCTGTTTGAAGAAAGCCTCATCCACCACTTCCTGCTTGTCTGGTGGTCTGTAGTGGACCCCCACCATGACATCACCTTGTTGCTCTCCCCTCTGACCCTAACCCATAGACTCTCAACAGGCCTGTCTCCAGTTTCATACTGGAGCTCTGAGCAATCATACGGCTCTTTTACATAAAGCACAACTCCTCCTCCTCTTTTCCCCTGCCTGTCCTTCCTGAACAGTTTGTACCCATCCATGACAGTGCTCCAGTCATGCGAGCTCCCACCAAGTCTTATTCCAATCATGTCATAGCTCCAGGACTCCCAATTCTTCCTGCTTGTTTCGAAGGCTCCATGCATTTGTTTTACAGGCACTTGAGGTAACTAGTTGATTGCCCTGATTTCTCAGGAAGTATGAGAGCGCCTCACTCGTTTCCCCTTCTTGCTTGCACTTCCTCCAGGTCTCCTGCTTCCCTACTTACCTGAGGACTTTGGTCTCCATCCCCCTGCAAACCTAGTGTAAAGCCCTCCTCACTAGGTTAGCCAGCCTGTCTGCAAAGATGCTCTCCCTTCTTTTTGTCAGGTGGATCCTATCTCTTCCCAGAAATCCTCCTTCTTGGAACAACATCCCCTAGTTGAAGAAGGCAGTCGTCCTGGCAACCCTGCGCAGCCAGATGTTGATCTGCAGGATGTACCTGCTCTTGCTTGGGCCCTTTCCCTTGACCAAGAACACTTTTTCCATTGTTCAGCACTTCTGTCACTCATTCTTGAATACTAACTTCTTTGCCTGGAACAGTGCCTTTTTGTTGTACATTGTACCATAATTGGCTCTTCTTTGAAAGTCCTCCTCTGTCCTTTTTAACCATTCACTCTCCTTTTTCCTTTCTCCTCCCTCTCCCAAAACCCAAGGCAGGTCAAGTCAAACCAAAACAAGCACACAGTCCACTCCTGCAGCCCATATCTGCTTCAGGACCTGGCTGTGATACAGGAAGTGTCAGGAACCATAGGTAACATTGTTTGAGAGGGTGTCACCAGAGTGCTATCTCCAGCTGTCACATAATCCCTTTGGGGGACCATAGCCAGTTGGGACAAATTAGAGCAGCACCAGCCTGATAACGTGTCATATAGGTTTGGAACAGACTCTGGGAGCAATTAATCTTTTATGGATTCCTAGCTCTTTTTGCGTCTATTCTGTGCTGCTTTGCAGATATGTGAAGGAGGAAATTCATTCTTTCCCAGGCCACATGCCAGGGTCTAGGCAGAACTAATCTAGCTCTTATCCTAGTCTTCCCAAGGCTCACATAATCTGGCAAGGAAGCAAACTGTTGAACAGCCAGGCAGCAGGCAGATATCTGGGGAACTGGCTACTGAGCACTGACAGCAGGGAAATGAAGACAGTTAGTTACTCAGGGCACTCCCAGTTCACATCAGAGCAGTTCTTGGGGCTGCAGGGTGGCTCTGGAAGGCAGTTCCTGAAGTGATGTCCTCTGTAATTTCACTCTAAAGATTTGAATCAAACACTTCAATTTAAAAATCACAAGAAATGGCTTTAGAGAGCACGATATCAATTCATGAGATACAATTTGTTACAATATAATCGCTCTCAGTGGTTGAACTGGAGAACCTCCAGGTTGACATGCTGGCTGCAAATCTTGTAGGTTCTGATTAAGTAGAGGTAGTTGCTATGACTTTGGCACATATAAAAAGTATGTGGGTAAGGAATAGGTTTCAGTTGGCTTTTAAAAAAAATTCTTTTCCTGAATGCATTCTGAGATTAACTATTTAGGAAAAAAGCAATGATTACTTTTTTTATTTATTACTTGTTTTGTTAGAAAAGACATTGTGTTAGTATCTAATGGTCCTAATTGAGCTGATGGCCCCACTGTGCTAAGAGCACAGGAAATGGGACTCAATGTATTTAGCTTTTTTCTCTTTAAAAAGCTGGGAAATACTATATACCTTACAGGTAACTTTTAATCTATATAAAAGGTTTGGGAGGGATGTATGTGTGTGTGGGCGCATGTGTGTTTGTGTGCATGTGCTTGTGTGTGTGGGGGTCCCAATTTATTGCTACTGATATTTGCCCCTCAGGTGTGAAATGTCTAGAATGAAGTAATTTATTATATATTAATTCTGGTTAACCAGACATGATTCAGGATTTTCACAGTCTGCAACAAATTAAGTATTCATTAACATTTAAGACCATTAAATGGCACAGTTGAGCAATAAATGATGCATTTAGTCCCTGTTAAGGAAATGCATATTGAAGTTTGTGAATACAAGATAAGTGGTGGCTGTCTTTGTTTTAAATTATTTTTCTCAACTTTATTTATTCTTTGCACTTCATTGACTTGCTTTTTTCTCCTCTCACTTTCTGAAACAGAAGAAGAAGTGGAAAATTTTGATGTTTCCAGTCTGCCTGAAGAAGTGCTGCAGAACATTGAAGCTGACAGTTATTGGTGCATGAGCAAGTTGCTTGATGGCATTCAGGTAAATTGATTTCTCCTGTCCTTAACTAGTGGAGATAACTGATTAATGTCAAGGCTTTGAAATACTTAAGGATGTTGAGAAACAGTACATCGATGGAAAACAGAGAAAAGGGAGATTTCCCTATGGCAGAAATCTGCCAGGAATGTCACAGTCTGACTACAGCATGATATCGTAGAATGCAAGTTAGGGTTGCTGCCCCAGAGACGCTTTTAAAACACATTTTATTTATGTTTTTTCTGAAGTCTGCAAATAAAGTAGTCTAACGGGGACGATGATAAGCGTTTTTTAATTTTTTTAATAGATCATTTAAAAAAATTGTTTTCTGGTACAACAGCTTTTAAGTAGATTGTTCTGATTTAAAATAAACCATTTAAGACATTTTCTTCCTTGAATACCCTCTTGATGTTTGCAGAGCACCTTTTTTAACTATTGCCTTTTTACAGGAAAAATAGTGAAACTGACTATACATGAAGTGCTGCCAAATGGTGTAGTGACTGGGCACTTAGGTAGACAGAAAAATGCTTTTAATGAAGGAGCTTAATTATCCTCTCATTGAGGACAGAGCAGCTGGTGGATCAGCTTCTTAAGGATTCCATGTTGGTGCTTGGTGTCTGAAGTAGCTACTCTTATGTGTCTGTAATAAAGATTGAGATGCTATTTTGGCATCAGTGGTTTCTGTGTTTATCATAGCACTGTTGTGTCATGTAGACATAGTCAAACATGGGATCAGAGTCTTATCTGCTGTATGTGGAAACCACATATATACCATGTGGTGCCTGTTTCCATTTAGTGTCTGGATCACAGTGGCTTCTGAATTCTCTTCGTGTCTTTTAGCCCGAACAAAAGAGAGACACGCATGTTTTTAGCTTGGTAGCTTTGTGTTGAGTCCTTGAAGAGGGAACCCACTGCTGGGGCAGCCAGAAAAGCCTGAGGGGAAATGCTTTGAATCCATTGAAACTAATGAAAGTTCTGCCATTAATTAAAATGGAACCAGAACTTCTACCGTTCATATTTGCCTGGTAAGACTTGAGAGGTATCCTAAGCATTACTTTTATTTTTTAATGTAATTAATTGTTACCCAACAAAACATTCTCTTTCTTACTTTTTAATATATGTATGACCATGAAGAAGGCTCCTTTGAAGTGAAAAATAGTTTTGAGTATAAAATCCCATGTGGACTCAGTTCCCAAAGAACTAAGTCCTTTAAAGAAATATAAATTGATATTAGGATATGATAGATATTAGGTTATGATTAAAGTGTTTTTTGTGCTATTTTGCCTAATTTAAAAAAAAAGTAACAATAGGTACTAATTGTGAAAGATTTAGAGTTATTGTGATGCATTTTCTGGTAACAGGAGTAATATGAAAAATATTTTTTGCAGAACTTTCTGTTTGTTTAAAAGCTCAGATCATTGGTATGCTCTTCTTGCTGTTCCACTTATTCACATTTCCTATTTTGACTACCTTTTTATGAGGTATTCTCAGTTTATTCTGTATGATTTAAATAGATGGGAATACTATAGTTTAGAATTAAGAAACTTTGCTACTGTAGGAAAGAGTTCATAATTCTTCCATCTTAATATGGTTTAGTTGGATTCCAACCTATGTTCTATCTGCATTTTTTTTTCTTTTCTGACTACAATTTCTGAGACTTTTTCCACACCACCTTTGCTTAGGATGTGTTTTAAATATCTCTTTACAAGTTAAATCACCCTTTCCACTCTAAAAATTCATTTATGCAGAATCCTATGAAACTGAAATAATTCACTTTTAAATTGAAAAATTTAATTACTTTAAAGAAGAATTTCCTAGCATGCATTTACCAAAAGGAAACAACATAGGCTTAACTTTTTGTAATTTTTAGGAAAATAGGAATATAGGATTTGAAGGGGCCTCCTAATCTGTTAAGCTCATTTCCCTTCATTTGCAAGCAACCCCTTGTCAAAAGGATGGATAAGCTTGTTCACTCCCAAACCCTCTCAGACATCACAGCCACACATAAAGCAACCTATTAAAAAGAAATTTCCCAAACCTACAGTATGCCCCTAGCAAAAAAATAAGGGAGAGACCATCATGAATGTATTACCACTGCAATGTCAGGGAGTTGTTGGGTTTAATATATGGTCTTTGATGATTTGATTTGAGGGAGAACTTCCTGGTCCCAGTTCTGGGGATCAGTTTGACCATCAGAAAGTGAGCAAGACACTTCACCCTAAGACATTTCGGAGTATATTAGCCAGCTCCTGCTTCTAGCAGTAGTCAGTATTTAAAGCAGTGGTTCTCACCCTTTTTGGATATAAGGTACCCTTCCAGTAACTTTCGTGAATTAAGTGGCACCCAAATTAAAAAATTATTTTATCTGTGAAAGTGCTTACTACTTTGCATAAATCCTGGACTGTTGGGCCAGGAAAGCAGCCAAGGAAGGACAAACCTGAGCTTGTGCTTATCTGCTTATCTCCTCACACCTCATTGTATCCTTCAAGGGATCTTGCAGCAGGCAGGGTTGAGAATCACTGATGTAGTGGAAGAGTGACCAGCAAAACCCTTTAGCATGGGATTACCAGATAAATTCATCTCTTTGTGGAAGGGTTTTTTTTCATTACTGTCAGGGTGATTTTAAATACTTGAATGCATATATTCAATACTTGAATTTGCTAATTATTTCTCAACTATCCTATCATCCTGTACCTCCAACAAACTTATTAAGCTTCATCTTAATGTAATTCAGGTTTTTTGTCCCACAGCACTTCGGAAGACCATTCTAAAACTTCACTCTTCTTATCACTAAAAACCTTCCAGGCTAGATTTGTGACCACTTGGTACCACTTGTTCTTGTGTCAGTTTTGTTCAAGTTAAGTAGTTCTCCTCTCTCCTTTTTGTTCAGTGTGTGAATTTATTTATAAAAAGTAACCATGTTCTCTCTTATTCTGCCCACCTGCATGTAGCCCTCATTTGGGCCTGTTCTAGTATAAATTCTTGGCTCTTCAACAGAGATTGCAAGAACGTATTGAGATATATATATATATATATATATATATATATGACTTTATCAATGCCTTGTGCAATGGTACACTTGTACTTTTCTGTTTCTACTAAAAGTACCCTGTCCATAATACTCTAGAAGTTCATTAGCCTTTGTCATAGCCACATGTCACTGGCAGCTTATGGTTATCCTGCAGTTTGACTTGTATACCTGATCCTCCTTCTGTGTTGTAACTGAACTGTGACCCTCCATTTTATAGCAAACATTTCTTGATATTAATATAAAGTGTGAAGTCATTCACTTTGACTTTTAAATGTCAGTACTGTTTGTTGCTTCATTCTACAGGGTTATTCAGTACTTACTAGGGGTGCACTGAAAGAGATTTTTGGGGCCAATACTGATAGCTGATTTTTAAGGAGGTATATCAGCTGATACTGATCAGTTTTCCAATACCAGCCCAGCAGCTTGGAGAGCTGCATGCAGCTGGTAAGTCTGGTGTGGTGGAAGTGGGGAGAGGGAAGGGGAAAGAGGGGGACGATAGATCAAGGTGCCCGCGGTGAGGAAGGAGTGGGACAGGGGCTGGGGTAAGCTCTGCCCAGCCGGGCTGAAGCAGGCATGGGACAGAGCCTTGGCTTGTCCAGGAGGTGTGGGGAGATGGGGGCAGCTCCCACTGCTGTGTGCCACTCCTCCGGGAGCCGCTGGTCTGGCGCTCACCTGCTCATTTGGGGGCGGGGGGAGGTGCCCCTGGATCTGTGCGGGGTGGGGCAGGACACAAAGAGCCACACAGCCATGGCCCCAGCCTGCCCCACCCTGCGCACATTTTGGGGCACATGCCCCTCTCCATGCTCTCTTGGATGAGCAGCCAGGAAAGCACTTGACCAGCTGTTCCTGGACCTCCCTCACCACGGGGGCCTTGATATGCCCCCGCCCTGCCCCTTCCCTCCCCCTCCCCCTCCCCTTCCCTCCTTTTTCCTCCCCTCTCCCCTTCCACCACACCATACTGATCGGCTGCACACATGCTCCAAACTGCTGTGCTGTGCTCCTCGCTGCCTGTGTGCTGTGCTGCAGCTGCATGCACGCATGGACATTTATCAGCCAAATTATTGGCCGTATCAGGCAGATTTCCGATATGATACATTTTCTTTATACTGGTGCTGATCCAATATCGGGCCAATGTATCAGTTTGCCTCTAGTACTTACTACTTAATAATCCTGGTCTCTTCTAGATTAGCAGTATCCCCCAGTCTAAGTTTTGGACAGATAATGTTAAGGCTAGGGACAGACATTACACACAAACTGGTTTAAATGATCAGAAACTGGTTTAAACCTGTAACAGAACAGATGTTCAGTGAACATAAACCCGTTTGAAAATGGCTGAAACCAGTTTGAGATAAACCTGGTTGAATGTAGTATCAGACTTAACTGATTTGGCTCAAACCAGTTTATGCAATGTCTGTCCCAGACCCTTTGCTGGTTTAAGATAAACCAGATACCCCCAGCATCCTGGCATGCTTTCTGAGTGGGGTGGGGCTCTCTGCTCCACAGCAGGGCCAGCCCTTCCTCTCTTCTTACTGGCTGGAGTTCAGCACAGACTTGCATGCACACAGCGTCTGCCTTGCTTCTCCCTGCTAAGCAGGGATTATTCCCCTGTCGTCTCTGCTTTATGCAGACACCTCAGCATTAGCTAGCAGACCACACACTGGCTATGGTCCATGTTGTGGGAGAGGACAGAGGCAGGCAGGCTTTTTTTGGAGCTAATCAACAGGTAGCTTCATGTCCTTCCTTGGAAGAGCTGTTTAACAAGAGCTCTATTAGTTAATGGAGAGAAGCTTTGTTTTCTTAATGAGTTGAGAAACACTGACTTAAGGGTGATAAACATTCCCTGCTGCTGGGCTGCTCAGGAAGTTGGGGGGTGGGTGGGAATAATAAGAGCATCCTGCTGGGGCCTGGCCATGCCCCTCTCTCAGTTCTGCCCTGTGGAAGCAAAGGGAGGGCTGCTCTAGTGCCCCCCCTGCTT